CCTTGAACTCTCAGTGATCCTCCTGCATCAGCCTCCCAAATTCTCCGATTACAAGCAAGCATCACCATGTCCTGCTCAGGTTTCTGATTTCTTATGACATTCAAATGCAAAAAGATAAGAAAAAAATTAATTTCTAGAGTAATTTAATTTTCCTCAGTACATTGTCATTTAAAATATTTAGATAATATTGATAAATAAATGTCTCCCTCATGAATGAAATTCTCGTGGCAAGTGAATGTATTGGGAATTGAACTCAGGGCCTTCACTCTAAGCAGCCTTGGTCTTTGTAAATAGGAGTCTTGTTGAGTTGCTGAGTTACCCAGGTTGATCTCAAACATGCCTCCTTCCTGCCTCAGACTCCCAGAGTGCTGGGGTGACAGGCGTGTGGCACCACAGCTTGGCCAAATTCTTGCTTCTTGTGATTTATATTGCTGCACAGTACTTCCTAATACTGCCAGGCCATCATTTAGTTAATCATTGATTTGCTGACTGATCTTGTGATTGCTGTAGACAATGTAGGCGTCAACAGCATTGAAAGCTGTATTATCTTCTAGTGAATCTCTACTTGCAGTAATTTCTGTGCTCTCAGCCTTGCTCCCACCATAAAATGGCTAAGAAGAATTTGTTTTAAAGCTCTCCAGAGTATGCAGACATTCATAAATTTTCTTGAGATGGAGAACAGGAAATGGCAACAAATTGTTTTCATTTGAATGCCACAAACTACTCAAAAACCACAACCCCGAGCTCAGTGAGCATCAAGATGGCCAGTGGTCAGTCTGGAAGGGACACAAGGGCTGCCGTGCTAGGGTGTTGAGTCCCTTGAGGTTTGGGCCAAAGTTGAGCACCACTGGAGGCCTAGAGAGGGAAGTAAAGGCCTGGCCTGAGAGAATCAGGAATCTCACAGCACAATGAGCCGAGTCACTGAAGCCCTAAAGTCATGAGACAACAAAGAATTCCTTCGCGTGGGCCTCTGAAAGTAGCTCATGTAATCAAGGATCACAGTGTAAGGCAGCCTCTCTCCACTACAGCCGCTGCTGAGGGAGGCCAGTGGCCAGCCTGTCTTAAACAGTTGATGAAAGTGAGAAAAGCCCTGGAGGAATGGAAGTGAGCTCAGGATGGAGCACAATAGCAAAAGGAAGACTAAAAGGCCAGTCCCATTGAGAGTGTGGGACACTGAGTCCAGGAATACTGATGACCTGATGCTGGCAGTTTACTTCTTTGATTGTCCTTATTCCCACCCAAGTCCATGTGGAAGGACGAGGATGAGGGGAGTGTTCCTATATTGCAATTCCATGTCTTTCCTGGCAATGTGAAAGGCACCCCGTAATGACATATTTTGTAACTCACTGACCTCCACCCCTTTCCTGTCCTTCCAAGATTACAAAAATATATTCAGTACAGAGTATAATTTATGCTGTTTTTCAGAAATATGTCAGAAGAATTGCATCTTCCTCCCCATGCCTTGCAATTCACATCTAGTCTTTTTGTACAATCAAACACATGCTCTCTTAGAACTTGCCTCCCATTCCTTTCTTTCTCCTTTCTATCTAGATGCATGACTCAATTCTCCATCCCTCTATCCTGCTAGCTGAGACTGAATACATCAAAAGAACCTAAAACACCTCCTCTCATTCTGAGAGATGTTGAAATTCTACTTTGGACTCTTTAAATTTGTGCAGTATTAGCATCACTTGTGCCAGATTAAGAGATCCTAAGCATTTATTCTGCACAATCTTGGCACATTCAGATGTGGAGTTCTCCACACCATGAATTTGGTTAACTAGTAGCCATGGAGGCTTATAGGCATTGGAATCTTGTAAAAAGCTGCCAAAAGAGAAACTGTATTGGGGCTGGGGGTTTAGCTCAGCGGCATAAGCGCCTGCCTTGCAAGCAGGCAGTCGTGAGTTCGATCCCTGGTACCGATAAAAACGAAAAAGACAAAAAAAAAAAAAAAAAGAGAAGCTGTATCCACAAAAAGCAGTCCTGTTGGGTTTGCAGCTAGGATGGCAGAGGAAGACGAACAACTGTACAACCTGACCCGGAATCTAGAGATTGCGGGGAAGGGGCATTCATCCACCAGGACATAACATTTGATAGCGAAGTCTTGTGAGCCCTTGAAAGGAGATTTTGTCAGTATACACTATCTTTTCTCTGCTCCTCATGAGACATCCTGGAACATGTCCTTGGAGTTGGGCAGCGGACATTTCTTTGGCAACTTACAAGAAAAATTCTTGGGCAATATTCTTTTTGTTCCTCTTCTCTTTCTTCCTCTGAATTACTTGCCTGAATCTTTCCCTTATAAACACTCCATTTCACCCTGATTGACATGTTTTGAATTTTTGTTGTAGTTTCTTCTCCTTCTTCATCTTCTTCTTCTTCATTTCTTCTTATTCTTCATTATCATCTTCTTCTTCTGTTTCCTTTCATCCCGGAATAAAATGGATTTTTTAAAAAGGGAAAACATTAAACAAAAATAAAAACTCCATTTCTTCCACATCATGACTGAACATCCCTCAAAACTACAGCCCTATCTTTCCTTGATAACAGGGAGGACAAGTTTTCAAACAATGAACAGAAGTAAGAAGAAACACTTTATGTTGTGTATAGGAGCTGAGTGGTGGAAGAAATCCTCCACTCTAGACTGGGTTAATGTTTCAAATCAACTCATTAAATTTCATGTTAAAACAAGGTACACATTCACACCCTGTGATACTCAGAGCTTCATTAAAATGCAAATGAAGACAGAAGGGTATCTGTTGTTAGTTCTACGGCCTTGCCAAAGATTAATTGCAAATGCTTTCCTGAGAGTAATTTTTGATAAATGAACACTTACGAAGAAATTAGCTTGAGAAACGTATGGAAATTTTGTGACCAGAAAATGGGCAGTGTGCAGGGATGGAGATGACAGTTTTGCTGTAACCATGCCCAAGAAAGTTATGTTTACTTATTAAACCACAAACTTAAAACACTCATCTCATTTCACTTGCCAGAGAAGTAGCATAGTCTGCTCCTCCCAACTGTTATTCATCCTTCTGTAGGTGACCATGCCTGTGGTCTCCATAGTCACACCCACGTGGTCTAGACTGCATCCTTCTCTGTGCACCAAATTTAAGCCCACTATCCCAATCAGTGAACTTTTTCCTTCGTCTCTCATTTGCTTTGGGCCCAAAATAGAGGTTTTGGACCCTGGTAATTATATTCCTCTCTCAGCGAGTGTCCGTACATTTTGTACCTTCAGCCTACCTCCCTACAATTGCTCTTCGGAAGAGAGATGAGAACAGTACCAGCCCGTGATGTTCAGACAAAGCTAGCAAAGGGATTTAAAGCTAACTTCAATGGCGGATGTGATGTATACCTGTAACCTCAGCACTGGGGAGCAGAGTATCAGTTCAAAGACAGTCTGGGTTACACAGTAAGTTCAGGTCCAGAAATGAGACCTTGTGTCAAAACAAACAAACAAAAAACATCTAACTTTGGGGGCTGGGGGTTTAGCTCAGCGGCATAAGCGCCTGCCTTACAATCAGGCAGTCATGAGTTCGATCAAAAGACCAAAAAAAAAAAAAAAAAATCTAACTTCAAACCAGAGCATGACTAGAAAGCTGGCTCTTCCTGCCCTCCCAGAGAGTCTCTCTATGCAGTGTAGGCTTGACCTGAACTTGCTCTGTAGCCCAGGCTTCCCTCAAGTTCATGATCTTCCAGCCTGGAGAACTAAGAAAGCATGGGAGAAATGAGTGGTATGAACTGAAGAAACCAAACATTTTAACACCAAGAGTAGAGAAGCTAAACAAGAATAGGGAAATAGAATGATTAAGTTGTGATATATATAAGTACCAATTCCTCAAGATGAATGCAATTACTATATCATGTGTCACAAATATATGCTAATAAAAAAAAGTAACAAAGAATGATAAAAATTTTTTTAAAAACAGTGAGTGACCAAGCTGGGCGTGGTGGCTCACGCCTATAATCCCAGCACTCAGGAAGCTGAGGCAGGAGGATCATTTTGAGTTTGAGACCAGGCTGGGCTACAAAGTGAGCTCAAGGCAGCCTGAACTGCACAGAAAGACTCTGTCTCAAAAAGAAAAAAAAAAACACTGAGTGACCAATAAGAAAGAGGAGCAATATCAGTCAACAATAGAAAACACCTCCAGCATCAGCTGCAGTGGAAATATTACCAAACACATTACCCTAAGCACTTCACATTTTTATATAGGAAAGTTTAGGACATATGAAGGAATGGAGACTTTAAAATGATTATTATTATCTACTATTTTGATCACTTCTTCAAAGTGACTGTGATCTACAGAAGCTAGAACCATATTTTTGTTACATTTATTGCTACCTACCTTTGTTTCTCCCAACGCTTCAAAGATAGATGACCCAGGGAGACTGGTGCCATAGCAGGATACTCCACAGCTGCATGAAGGTCCTAAGGATCTCAAATTTGGGGGAAGCTGATATATTTATTTATTTGCTGATGACAACAAGCCAAAGTTTTCAACAGACTTTACTCCAAAACAAATGCAGACAGAAGATAAAGAAGTCCTGCTTTGCCAAACCACACACATTTTAAAAACTCTATACAGGCTTGGCAATGTTTAGGGAAAACGAATGCAAAATTACCAGTGTCAAGTTAAAGATTAGCGCTTAACCCCAAACCCTACACTCCCTCCCTGAGAATGCAAATAAGACATTCGGTGTTTCTCTTAAAATTCCTACTGCAGTTTGGGTTTCTTTTAATCATTGCTTGAATCTGCACCAAGTTACACAAACTTCCTAATAAGAAAGTGCTAGTGACTGACAGAATAAATGAACTCCTTTCTAAGTGTGCGAATTTTAAAACATAGATGATCATCCTATCCCCCCAGTCCGGTCGCCAATGCAAATGAGTCAGAGGACTTGCTCAGACACTGAGTTAATTGTGTAATTCCACAACAGAAAACACCATTGGAGAATCGCGCTGACCTCACAGCTGAAAAAAACTATTTAAGAAAGATGTGGAAACCAGATGTTTCAGGCACATTTCAGCCGCTGTTCTGAGAATTTATCGCAAGCAGCCGGACAGTCGTTAACTTCTGTGCAGCTGAAGATATGATCATCCTAACTTACTTATTTCTCTTGCTGTGGGAAGAGGCTCAAGGATGGGGATTCAAGGATGGAATTTTTCACAACTCTATATGGCTTGGTAAGAAACTTCCCTCATGGGGCTTCTTTTTGGGAATGTCAATTCTTTGAAAACATGAAAGAGTGGGTCAAAGCAGCAAAAATTTCTAATCTGTTGAAGGCTAACGTTTTCAAAGAAAATGCTTAGGAAAGATAACCACTGAAATGCCATTTCTCTTTTTAAAGTGGTCTTGTTTTCCAAAAATTAAAAATAGCTTTTATTAAAATGAGTTGTTCAATAGAAAATAGAAGTTAAATCTATATGCAAAAAAAATCTATATGCATAATGAAAATGTTTTTAAAATCTTCAAAGTATATTTAGCAGCATAGTGAAGAGTGTTTCTATAACAGCTAAAACACCAATATACTAATTGCTTTTTATTTCAGTTGAATCCACAGGTAAATTTTAGAGGAATTGAGATGTGTGAAACTTTTACAGTAACTGATTTATGTACTCTGAGTGGGAGAGAGTATGTTAGTTTTTCCAAACATCCATTGATTATTTTGACAAAGCCAAAGAAAGAAAAGAAAAAGGTTTCTACTTTTGAATGCATTCTTATCACTTTGTTGTACTATCCATATAAATATTTTTCAAACAATTGTCACACAAGTAAAGTTTCTATTGTTGTTTTATTTTGTGAAATGTAAAGAATGATACAGGCCAAACTGTGAAGTTAAACAATAGAAACCTCCAAAAAAGAAAACCCAAGATACAGAAAAGAAAAAACACCCCTTGGAGTATTCTAAACAATATTTTAATTCCTAAGATACAAAATCATACTGTTTTACGTTCATTATCATGTTTAATGGAGAGAAAAGTTCGATTGCTTTGTGAGAATTCAACAGATCTTTGCACATAATTAAGCAATAAAGACAAAGCAAAATTAACTTACATGTTGGTTTTATGCTTGCTGAGCAGCACATGGTTGTAGACTATTTTCCCTTGCTGCATGTTTCTCTCTGGTAGTAACTGCAACCATGCGGGTTTCATTAAAAAGCCTGACTCCAAAAAAAAAAAAAAAAAAGCCTGACTCCACTGCACTACCTTGCCGCCTTTTTTTTAAAGATTGAGCCAGTGAACTAGTTTCAGAGAGATTCATTTGGTTAAGATGAGTTCTGGAATTTAGTAAAAGAATGTACAAGTCTTTGCTTTTTCATTGGACACAATCATACTGAGGAAGTGCACACATTTTAGCAAGAAATGACAATAGAAAGAATCAAACCCACATGGATAAACTGTGAAAGAATACTAGACTCTCTAGTGATCAGCAATTTCAACTTGTATGTAACAAAAATATAAACCTGGACAATAGGAGTTCTGACCCAGAGGCCGAAAGGAGTAAATCTTTGTTAATACTGTGCTGCAAATCTAAGGCTCAGAAGAAGTGCAGATTACTTCAATCTGGGACAAATTATTGACCAGTCAGCCTAACACAAATTGTTTACAGTTGGTTGGATCAGTATAATATTAGACACTTCAGGGAGGAAAGAGAATTATATTAGAAGGCAGAAATCTGTTAGCAACTATAATGACAAGGACACTTTAATTTTGGTATCTTCCAGTTCCTTAAATAATAATTTAAAGTAGAACAAAACAATCATATAAAGGACGAAAGATTTCTATCAGTTTTATATGGGTCATGAAAATTAAAAACAGAGATAATATTTCTTTTTGGCTATTGTATTTAATCTGAAAAACAAGGAAAAGTAATGTATCATGAGGTCCAGGAGCTATCATTATTCCCATTTGTTAGATAAAGAAACTGGCTAGGGATTTAGCTCAGCGGCATAAGCACCTGCCTTGTAAGCAGGCAGTCGTGAGTTCGATCCCTGATACCGATAAAAAGACAAAAAAAAAAAAAAAAAAAAAAAAAAAAAAGAAAGAAAGAAAGAAACTGAGGTTCAGGAAGTGATTTGTGCAAGGTTGTAGATCTCCATGGTAGAACTAGCATCAGAGGTCACAGCTAACATTCTTCTGTGGCTGAAAAAAAAAAAAAAGTCAAACAATTAGTCAAATTTTCAGTATTAAAAAATAAGAGTATTGATTAGAAAATTAATAAAAAGTATTTCTTTTTAAAAGTAAAACTTTTCAAAGTATGATTTAGCTAGTTGGATGACTTAGGCTAATAGTCCCTGTTACTCAGGAGGCTAAGACAGGAAGATGACTTGAGTTCCCAAGTTCAAGACTGGCCCAGGTGGCCAAGTGTTATAGCTATTTCCTGTAAGCACAGCATTTGGGAGGCTGAGGCAGGAGGATCACTATGAATTCAAGGCCAGCCTGGGATACAAAGTGAACTCAAAGCCAATCTGTACTACATAGTGAGACTTTGTCTCAAAAAACAAAACAAAAATAAACAACCTAGACAACATAATAAGTGAATATGAATGAATAAGTAAATAAAACTAAGATTTTTACAAAATCCACTTTAATAGTTTAAAATTCTGAATTGAGGAATACTTTAAAATAAGTGCCTTGTTTAAAACTGTCAAGTACACATACAAGATTCTCAACTTGTTCTTAAGAAAAGATGCTATTAAGTTTGGTGCTCCTTGAGAAATAGCATAAATATTAATACTTAAATTTAAAATGATGAAATATACATTTTTGCTAAATCTATTTCTTGACAAATGTCAGTAGATACCAAATATTTCTGATTACAGAAAGGAAATTGTTAACTATTTTCTAAAAACTTCTCTCTTTATTTTTTCCTATGAACATAATATTTCAATTTGTAGGCCAGGCATGCCTATAATTCCAGAACTCGGGAGACTAAGACAGAAGGAGTAAAGAGAGTTCAAGGCCATCCTGGGCTACATAGTTAGTTTAAAGATACCCTGAACTACAGAGCGAGTCCTTGTCTCAAAAAACAATTTGTTTAATAAAATTCCAAGCAAATTCATTTGAAGAAACCTTGACATACATTAAAATACTTCCTATATTTATTTTCAGTAACGATATTTACATTATATTCTTATGAAACATATAAAATCATAACATTGTTAAAAATTAAGTCTTTTATTATAGTACCTAAATACCTTCTTTTTAACCAAAAATCTTTTGTCTTAAGCTTAAGATAAAGACACACATTTTGTCCACTAGTATCCAGGTTCTTTGAGAACAGGTCTCAACTCACAGAGCCTAGCGAAGTATCCCATAGTATATGCTCAAAATAACCAAATTGGAACTCGGCATGGAGGCACACATGCCTGTAATCCCAGCACTCTGAGAGGCTGAGGCAACAGGATCACAGGTTCAAACCCAGTGTACAAAATTTTTCAACTTAGTCTCAAAATATAAAAGGGGGTGGGATGGAACAAAGTGCAAAGGCCCTGGCTTGAATACCCAGCACTAAAAACCACACACACACACCCCAAATTGGAAGGTAGTGAGAGTTTGCTGAGGCTTTGTCACATGAAGAACACTTGGAAAAAGGTCTTCAAAGTAGAGACCTTTTTTTTTTTTGTCTTTTTCATTTTTAACAGTACCAGGGATCAAACTCACAACTGCCTGCTTGCAAGGCAGCCGCTTATGCTGCTGAGCTAAATCCCCAGCCCCTCAAAGAAGAGATCTTGACTAGTTATGATTTAATGTCTCTGGTTGTGAATGGCAGTGTCCAATCTATAAGCATCAAACTGCATATGGCCTTCTGTGTGTGTGTAAGAATGGACCTTTACCACATAATGTACAGTAGCAGGATACCTTGAAGTCTAGAAAAGCAAGGACATGCTCAGCTCCATAGCCTACTAACTTTAAACCAGCAAGAGGAGGAGAACAATGAACTCAGAATTTTCTTCTCAGTACTAGGAATTGAAACCAGGGGTGCTCTACCACCACACTACATCCAAAGCCCTTATTAAGATCTCACTAAGCTACTCAGATTAGCCTCAAACCTGCACTATTTATGTCTCAGCATCCCAAGTAGCTGGAATTATAGATGTGCACCCTTGCACCCAGCTCAGATTAGAACTGTTTCTGATACCACTGGATTGATGGTTTGCTTCATGCCAAAAGATTTGCATTCTTATTGAAATGGTGGTGGCTGACTACATAAGTTCTAGTACAAATACTTCACCATAATCTGGCAGGCTCTACAGAACTATTAGAACTAACCTATGGCTATTGTCCTGGGAATCTTTTCACATGGTTTCTATGACAGAAGGCACTCTAAACTCAAAATAATCCACTCAGACAGTGGTCCATTGGAAAACAACTCCTCTGTGACTTATCACTGCCTAAAATACGTTGGGAACAACCTGTGAGCTAAAAAAGAAAAACTAGATAAAGAAGTTAGGAGCTAAGTATAAGTTAGGTGCACCATTTTTTTCTTTTCTATGTTTGAATCTGTTTTTCTTTTTTTAGATGCAGTATTTGTTTGCTTTGGTTTCCTTGAGCCTTTCCTGTAGTTTTTGATTTATTCACTAAAGTCTCAATTATATTGCCTTAGTCATTTCCCTCAAATGGATATTTTGGCTTGATTTTCTTCATCACTGTGAGTCTGCTTTATATATCATTTTTATGGTTTCTTTTGTCTTCAATTTATTTTTGCCCCTATTGCTTACCCTTCCAAGTTTTTATGACTTTATTAAAGTCAAAAGAAATCCAAAATTTTGTCACTTGAGGATAATGTAGAAACACAATGTTGTATAAATATATTTTTAGGCTACCATGTCAGAAACATAATATAGCCTCAAAATTTCATTTATGTCCCCAAAATTCCCCTCAAAGTCCCCTCATTCATATTTTTTCCAACACTTTCTAACAATGAAAACTTTAGCCTCCCTGGCAGCTGACCTGGGAAATTCTTTGGCAGGAACAACAGTTGATGTAATCTTCCAGCTGAGGCAAAATTTCCTTTGTTCCCCAAGAGTGGATAATCGTGCACTGATGACACTTTGTGGTTTCACAGAACAAGCAGCTGGTGTGTACCACCGAGAAGCTCGGTCCGGCAAATACAAGCTCACCTATGCAGAAGCCAAGGCGGTGTGTGAATTTGAAGGTGGTCGTCTCGCCACCTACAAGCAGCTGGAAGCAGCCAGAAAAATTGGTAACTGATTTGACAATGATTTTTCTACTTTTTTAGCCTTGGGGCATAGGGAGAGGGCACTCTACCTTTCCTACGCTCTTGAATAAGATTCCTCTCTCCAGCCTCTCTAGGTACTCTAAGCCCCTAGGACAGCATTGCTCTCTGGCTTCTTCTATACCCTTTTACCCAGAGCCAGAACAAGTCTAGTACTGGCATCATATTTGGGGATCACAATCCACTGAGAACTAATACATGAAGAAAAAGAGCTTATTATATCAATAACATGTATGTAAATTTCTCATGAGCTGTAATGCAGCTTTCTTTCTTTGGAACTGGGAATTGAACTCAAGACCTTGTGCTTGCCAGGCAGAAGCCATGCCACTGATCTATACCTCCGACCCCTATTGTCATTCATTTTTAATGAATGGTCTATCTCTGTGACTCCTTAGCATGGGTTTCCTCATCTATTAAATGATGGTAGTGTGCTGAGTTTTATGAAGACATTTCCCTGGCATGAGAAATAGTGAGTTTAAAGATTTTTTTCCATATACATATGAAATATATATATGGAATATATAGAGAATATATATGGAATATATATATATTGGTTTTTTGTTTTGCTTTGTTTTTTTAAACAAGGTCTTGCTATCTAGTTCCAGTCTGATCTTGAACTCACTATATAGCAGCTGGCCTCAAACTCACAATGATTTCCCTGCCTCAGTCTCCTAAATTCTAGATTACTGGTGTGCACCACCATGCCCAACTTTTTCCTAATATTTTTAACATGAAGTGAGAGAATGCCTTTGTACTCTAGGATCAAAAGCTGTAATGGTACATTCTTGTAATCTCACACTCCAGAGGTTTAGGCAGGAGAATCCTAAGCTCAAGGCCCATGTGAACAACATAGTGAGACCCTATCTCCAAACAAACAACCTAGGAAAACGATAAGCAAATTATAAGATAGCAAGAGAAAGAAATTGAGATGATATCAGTAGATCTGGTGAGAACTCCGCTAGCTACCCAGATGGAACAACTTGTTTCTTTACACAAAAATGGGCTGCTGCCACCTGTCCTGGGCTCTGAGCTCCCTCCCACAGGAGCTCCTTTGTTGACAGAAAAACATCTGGCAAAACTCATATGGTTACTGCACCTTACCCAAGACAAACAGTCGCTCTGCAATATCAGTGAAGGAATAGTCCCAGGACGCCCACAGATACCAGAATCTGGCGCTGCAGTTTCACATGGATGAAAAACAAGCTCATCATCTTGCCAAGCTCAAAGGCAATTTAAAATATGTATATACTTTTAATTCCCAGTGGGTTGCAACACAGATGCAGAACATGTAGACATGGAGAATAGACCATGAGGTACTGTCGTCTCTCAAAGGTCCCAACTGCTCATCTGCAATCCCACGTCTGAGTGTGGAATGGTGGATGCTTGCAGCTAGATGTGCTGCCACACACCTGAAACCCCAGCACTCTGGGAGGCTGATACAAGAGGATCACAAATTCAAGCTCAGGTGAACAGGCCCTGTCTCAAAATAAAAGATAAAAAAAGGGCTAAGGATATAGCTTACCCTAGATTTGACCTGTTGTAATACACACACACACACACAATTGCTCCTTTTTGGGGGGTGTACTAAGAATTGAATTTATGACCTTGAGCTTGCTAGGCAGGCACTTATGCCACTGAGCTAAATCCCCAGCTTTTTTTTTTGAGACAGGGGTTTCACTGTGTAATTCAGGCTGGCCTTGAACTCATGGCTTTCCTCCCTCCTTAGCCTCCATGTGTTGGGATAACACAATTGCTTTTGCATGATGCTGGCAAATACTAAAACACCCTCTAAAGCTCAACAAGTAAAAGAGGCTGAGTCTTTGTTTGAAATTTATGAGAGAATTTATCTATACTCAGATCTTGTTTGTTACTTGTTGAGACAGGGTCTCACCATGTAGACCAATTTGGCCTTTGTATTGGTTACTTTTCTCTTATTGCTGGGACAAAACATTTGACACTCAAAATGAAGGAAAGAAAGGTTTATCCGCTTACTGTTTGTGGAGGCTTCAGTTCATAATCAGCTGGCTCCAAGGCAGGGTGGCATGGCACAGGAGCAATACTTCAAGGCAGCAGCCGGAGCAAAAAGCTTAAAAAGGGAGAGAGTATGCTTCCATCTCTCCCTTATATTGTATGCCAGCTCCTCACCCTGGGCAGGTGCAGCACCCACGCCTCAGATCCCAGCACTAAACAAACCAATCACAAATGCTAGACTCAGGATCCTCCATGACTGCAAGAGGCCTTGGGGGGACACTTAAGCCATAACAGCCTTGAATGCTTTATGTAGGCCAAACTAGCCTCAAAAATCATGAGTTTCCTGCCTCAGCCTCTCAAAATGCTCGGTTTATAGGTGAAAGCCACCATAACTGGCTCTTATTCAAGTCTTTACTTTTTTTTTTTTTTTTAAAGGTGGGATCTTTTTCTATAGTTCAGGTTGCCCTTGAACTCACTATGTAACACAAACTGGCCTTGAATTCACAGCAATCCTGCCTTTAGCCTCCTGAGTCTGAGATTACAAGTGTGTGTCGCCACACCACACCAGCTCAGATCTTCAAAATATTACTGACATCTGAATCAATTTTTTTTTTATACTGGAAATCAAACTCAGGAACTCTGGCTTGCCAGGCAGGTGCTGTTCTACTGAGCTATATCCTCAGCCCCTCTTAATCAATTTTGATATAGAAATGAATTAGATTACCATCTGAAAATTTTTTTTCCAGAATTTACAGTAATTTCAGAAATTATCACATAGAAAGAAACCATTTCTGAAAAGAAAGCACCTTTGAAATTGGTTTTATATCTACAGTGTGATCCGCAGTCCACCTGCATCTTTTTTTTTTTTTAAATGGGACTACTTTCTAGTAAAAGACACGAGTTGTATATTGTGTGCATTCTTTTTTCTTTTTTTTTTTTTTTTATGAAAGCAGTTTTCTCCCACTTACGAGGAAATGAATCCGGGCAGCTGAGGAACTGTGGTTTCTGATCAACACCTCAATCCTTTTGCCTTCTCTTGCAGGTTTTCATGTCTGTGCTGCGGGATGGATGGCCAAAGGCAGAGTTGGGTACCCCATTGTGAAGCCAGGGCCCAACTGTGGGTTTGGAAAAACTGGAATTATTGATTATGGCATCCGTCTCAACAGGAGTGAAAGATGGGACGCATACTGCTACAATCCACATGGTTTGTTAAAAATAATGTAATGTCTTACAAAAAGAGTTACATACATGGAAGAAAGACTACAACAAAACAGTTATGGGAGACTAAGAACTTGTTAAAAATAGCTGATTGAGCATGGGCGAGCACTATGTTAAGCCCAGTGTTTCAGAGGCTGTGGTAGGAAGGTCACAAGTTCAAGCTCAGCTTGGGCAAGCTAACAGCTTAATGAAAACTTGCCTCAAGATTTCAAAAGCAAAAGTTTGTTTTTTTTTTTAAAGGGTTGGGGATGTAGCTCAGCGTGAAGGCCAAGAGACAGAGAGAGAAAGAGAGAGAAAGAGAGAGAAAGAGAGAGAGAGAGAGAGAGAGAGAGAGAGAGATTAATTCTTCCTGAAAAAAATCCTATTTGGTAATGATAATTATGAAGAATGACTACCATGTTAGAGTACCATGTTAGAGTGCTTATGCTGGGCTGGCTACTGGGCTGTGGTCTTCACTTCCACTCTCACTTAACATTCTTAGCTCTTCAAGAATTATTTATCACTACATTAGCAATCAGGAGGCTGAAGTTAAATAACTTACCTCCAATCCGACAGCCAATTCAGCAGGTAGGGTAAGAATTCAGCTCTGTGCTATGGAACTTTGTGGCTGTAAAGAAAGAGACTCACACACACACACACACACACACACACACACACACACATTATAAATCTATCATATTTACCTAAAACAATAAAGTGATGCTATCAAATGTTAACTGTTCACCCCTTTGACAGAATGAAAGCAAAGGAGATAAAATAAACAAACTCTCCCAAATTTATTTTACATACAAGTTCTTAGACTTCCAAACAAGGTACCTCTCATTTTGTAGTTTAACAATTACATTCTGCACGTACTAGTTTTTGCTTTTGTTTTATAGCACTGGGAAAGTGACCCAGGGCCCCACTCTCATTGAGTTATATCCATACACTTTTCTGCTTTTTGAGACAGGACTTTCCTAAACTTGTCTCAGCCTCCCTCAGTGCTGAACTAGTCCACACTATGCAGTATGTTTTTATTCATATTTTTCCACAGCCACTTGAAATATTTAATGGGAAATTTCATTCAGAATATGAAGAGTTGCTCTTTGTTTATGCTCTCAGAGAAAAAAATACTCTTCTATTTGCATATATTCCCAGAGAGGTTGCAAAATGTTATATAATGTGTTACAAATCATTTAGGCATTTATGCTCTTTTTTTTTTTTTTACCCCACCCCTGCCTCGGCATTTATGCTCTTAAATATAACCAGGTGGTATCCCATTTGGATCTACCTTACAGAAATTCTAGCTTGGCGTAGTGGCACCCTGCAACCCCAGCACTCCAGAAGGCTGAGGCAGGAGGACTGCAGTTTTGAGCTCTGCAATTTTGGTGATTTAGAGAGAACTTACCTCAAAATAAACAGTAAAATAGGGTCGGGGATGTAGTTCTGGGTGAATGGGTTTGACCCCCACTACCACAAAAAAAAAGAGAGAGAGAGAGAAAGAGTGAGTGAGATAAAGATGGAAGGAAGGAAGGAAAAGAAAGAACAAAAGAAAGAAAGAAAATCCTATAACATAGTGGAAAACTTAACAGTGACATTCTAGTATACTTTTACAGAATTTATTACCTAACATTACTAGTACAGGGCCTGGGATTTCTGGGATTTAGCACAGTCTTTCAGGTCTGTAACTAACCTATATCTAAAAAAAAGTAGATATATTCCAAATAAAAAAAATTTTGCCTAGCATTGTCTTTTAGTGCCACTTAAAATCCAGAACTGTATCTTTCAAAGCCATTTTGTAATACGTATTAGGTTTATTTATTCTTAAATAGTACGAGACCACTGTATATTTAATCCTATATTTAGTCATTAATAATACATAAAGCTTCCCTCCCTGATTCCCTCTGCACGTTCTTTTCTTTGGTGTGTCTGTACAAGCAGCTCCCTTTTTACTCTCAAGTCTTCCTGAATACATTCTGCTTCTTGTTTTGCTTGAAAAATGATAGACTGTGAACTCCTGTGCAGTTCTTCCCAAGGGTCAAAGTGTAGAGTAAATGAAACCATGGTAATGAAAGTGTTCTTGCATATTTTGCTGTCCCTTTATAAGAATGCCATCTTAACCTACAAGTTTTTAATTGTTGCTTTTTTTTCTCAGAAAAGCTGAGTACTGTTTATTCTGAGAATATGTGTACAGAATCCTAGGAGACTTACTCTTACACAACTCTCAATGTAGTTAGCTTACTGAGAGATTTGTGGAGCACTGATTATATACTTAGATCGTGGTTCACTGGAAGGACACAGTGAACTGCCTGAACTAGAACAGGCCACCAAAACCTAATCAGAATGAAAAGCAGTTGTAACAGCATCAGAAAGCAAAGCAGTCAGCTTTGGCCAACATGACCAACTTGCAGCTGATTGAAATAGGGAAGAATAGGGTCAGTAAGTGTTTGAAAGTAAAGTTGCTCTTTTCAAGTTTGGAATGTGTGCCAAGACATTGATCACCTATGGGCATGAATTTTTTAACCAAGTAATAGTTCTCATTGGCCTGATTGGGCTGTGAATCTGTGGTTTTTAAAATAAGGGATACTGGGCCTGGCAAGTGCAAGTGTGAGAGTTCAATCCCCAGTACTAAAAAATAAATAAATTAAAATTAAAATAAGGGATACATAAGGCAATCGATGTACTACCATCAAATGTAGAGCTAAACAGATGTAATTAAATAAGTGCCTAAGTTACCTCAGCTTTTTTGTCTTCCCTTTCTTTTCTTTTGGGGGAGGTTTGTCTTTTTTGAGACAGGGCCTTGCTATGCAGTTCATGCTGGCCTTGAGCTCATTTTGTAGCTCAGGCTGGTCTCAAATTTGCAGGATCCTCCTGCCTCAGCCTCCTGAGTACTGAGCTTACAGGCATGCACCACCATGCCCAGCTTTGTTGCTTGTTTTTTGGACAGGTTCTTACCAAGTAGTTCAGACTGGTTTTGAACTCATTGTATAGTCTAGGTTGGCCCAGAACCCCCAGTGTTCTTCATCCTGTTTTCTAAATGCTGGGATTAGAGGCGTCACCACCTCTCTCATCTCTAGTTCAGGATTTGAATCCTTTTTCTACAGAGCCTCAGATTTAACTCAGCAGCCAAAGTCCTTGCTTGGCAAGCTCAAGGTCCTAAGTTTGATCCTTAGTAGCAAAAAAAAAAAAAAAAAAAGACCAATAGTACAAAATGAAGACGATGAAAAAAAATTATTAAGACTATGGGTGTAACTAGTGGTTCAGCCCACACTTAACAGGCATGAGACTTTGGATTCAGTCCCAGCATAAAAATACAAATAAATTAAAAAGTGTACAGAATTTAAGGTCCCTTATGGTTCTAGAATTTTATAATGATGTTCTAAAAAGAATTTATGAGGGGCTGGGGATTTAGCTCAGCGGTATAAGCGCCTGCCTTGCAAGCGTGTGGTCGTGAGTTCGATCCCTGGTACCGGTAAAAATACAAAAAAAAAAAAAAAAAAAAAAAAGAAGAAGAATAATTTATGAGATTCACTGTTCTCAGTAAGTCCCTGAGACATGGCGATATGACAGGAGAAAATTCCTACCATCTTTTTTATTCCTTCAGTGCTCGGGATTGAACTCAGGGCCTCATGCATGCTAAGCATGAGCTTCATCACTGAACTCCATCCCCAGCCCTTCCTTCCACCTTAATTAGGCTGCTGGCAATGTGGAGACACATAGGACAGAAATACACAGAGGTACCGTATAGCAAAAGAATTGTGTATTTTATGGCTTAAAAGGGAAAAGGAAAATGTAAACAGAAATACAATTAGCTAATACATTTTTTTCTCCTCATTTTCATTCTTTAAAAATCTGCCAACAAGCCTGGCATGGGCACACGCCTGTACCAGCCACTCAGCAGGCTAAGATGGGAGGACCCCATAAACCCACGAGTTCAAGATTGTCCTGGGCACTGTGCCAGACTGTCTCAAAAAAGAAATTTCCCCAATAGCCCATGTTCATTTTAGAGAATTTAGAAATTACTGGTGAAAAAATATAATTATTCTTTAGCTATAAGTATATATAATACACACATGCAGTATATTAAGCCATTTCTTAAGTATTTCATATGTCTCAAAAGTGGATATCATTTTGAAATAAAGATAATTATTTTCCTAACAGTTTTGTTTCCTTCTCTGTCTATCTCTATCTTTCTCTTTTTCTCCCTCTTTCCATTTTAGCAAAGGAGTGTGGTGGTGTCTTTACAGATCCAAAGCGAATTTTTAAATCTCCAGGCTTCCCCAATGAGTATGAGGATAACCAGATCTGCTATTGGCACATTAGACTCAAGTATGGTCAGCGTATTCACCTGAGTTTTTTGGACTTTGACCTTGAAGATGACCCGGGTTGCCTGGCTGACTATGTTGAAGTATATGACAGTTATGATGATGTTCATGGATTTGTTGGAAGGTACGTATCAATACAGAAAGTTAATGACATTTCTTTAATTAACTTTCTCCCCATTGTTCCTAGAATACTTCTTTTTTTGCCCCTAAAATATTGATTTTTCCACTGTTCCTACTATTTGTCAACATATCACATCCTTTCTCAATAGTGATTTTTGTTAGCTGATATATGAAATTACTAAAGTAATTATAGCTGTATTTTGATTATCATTAAAGGCATAAGAATTCTTTAATCAATTTATAAAAAACTCGAGATTTGACTAAGATAGGTGGAAAGTTTGTTGGCCCAGTGTGGTGGTGCACACTTGTAATCCCAGCATTCAGGAGGCTGAAGCAGGAACACTATGAGTTTGAGGCCAGCCTCGACTACAAAGTGAGCTCAAAGCCAGCCTGCTGTCTCAAAAAGATGAAAAATAAATAAGAAAAGAAAAAGGTTGTTAGGATCTGTAATTGATCTACTTTCTTTTAATCTCCTAAACATGACTGACTTCAGCAACTGGTATGTCTCACCTTTGTACAAATTATTGTACTAAGTGTTATAGATGCAAAATAAATTAGCAAAGTTAGCCCTTCTCTCACAAAATTTAGCTAAATATACAATGGACATCTTTGATTACTAAAGATATTTTGAGATAGGGTCTCACTAGGTAGCCCAAGCTGGCCTCAAACTTGCACTCCTCAATTTTCCTGCCTCAACCTCCCAAGCACTGGGTTTATAGGCATGGACTACCATTCCTGATTGCATTCTCTGTTTGTTGGTTTTGTTTGAAACAGAGCCTCTCTATGTGGCTCAGGCAGGCCTTCAACTTACTGTGAACCCAGGGTGGCCTTGAATTCATGAGGATGCTCCTGCCTCAGTCTCCTGAGTTCTAGGATTATAGGTGTATACTATCATGTCTCATGTTTATGTAGATTCTAAAATGTATAACCAAAGCACAAATAAAAACAGATACTTCTTGAATACATAAATAGCAAATGTTTTTTGTTTTGTTCTCACGCTGATGAATTGCTACAGAAAAAAATACATATAGTTTTCTAAAATACATTGAAAGGGCCAGAGATAGAGCTCAGTGGCATAAACACCTGCCTGGAGAGTACAAGATCTTGAGTTCAATTCCTAACATCAAAAAATAAAATAAGATAAATTTTAGAAGGGTTAGGGATTTAGCTCAGTGGCATAAGTGCCTGGCTGGCAAGTGCAAGGTCATGAGTTCAATCCCAGGTACAAAAAAAAAAAAAAAAAAAATCTATCAATAAATTGAAGAAGACATGAATTAGAATTGAAGGAATGACAAATGAGTTTTGGGATTGGGGGATACCAGAAATCAAACTCATGACCTCACACTTGCCAGGCAAGTGCTTATGTCACTGAGCTAAATCGCTAGCAGGATTTTTTTTTGGAAATGATGTGCCTCCTACCTTGAGAATTAAGAAGACATTTCTACTGTAAACCTAATTTCTGAAATCAATTACAGCCCTAGACAAAATGGTAAACTACTTTTAGAAGGTTTATATCAAGCTAATTTGTTACCTCTTAGATTTATAATATGTATTTTTCCTTTATAATAGACTTTTCCTTCTTTTGAATTACATTTTTAGAAACTTATAAGAATTGTTTTTATATTATGAATTATTTGTTCTTATAGTATGAATTAGCTCATGATTTAGAAAAAAATCAATCCCTCTTATATCTATAAGGTCTATTTGACATTTTTCCAAATTTAAATGTCTTGTAATTTAAAATATGAATAGCACTGGTCATGGTGGTACATGACTGTAATCACAGCACTTGTAAGACCTCATGAGGCAGGATTGTGAGGAGTTTGAGGCAAACTTGGACGATGTAGTGAGTGTAAGACCAACCTCAAGTGCAAGACCTTGTCATAAATAAATAAAATATTAATATCATCAACCATATACCCATTTTTTCTTTAGCTATGAAGAAAACTTTATACAATAAATCAGAAATAAACTTTTACATGTCCAAGTAAGTTAAAATTATCTACTACACAAATACTTTTTTTGGTACACGAAGTAGAAAAGTCACAAATCCATTCTTAAAAGTCTAATACAGAATTTTTTCAAAAAACTTTATTGCAACCCTTCTTCCTTACAAATCCAAGTTTTAAAAAAAAAGAATTTTTAAAGTATAGAAAAATGAGTCACTGCTTAAAAGATATGAAACATTTCATTATCACTATGTCATTATTTCATCATCACTAGGATCCACTCCAAGAGTTATATAATGCCTTTCCTGTAATCTCTTTTTTCTACAACTTCCCTCTCAGGTACTGTGGGGACGAACTCCCAGAAGACATCATTAGCACAGGTAAGGACTCCGAATGGAAGACTAAACGTCAGTTGTTTTCTCAGAGCACCCCTGAAATCGAGGCCCTGCTACTCACCACGGTTCCTTTTAAAACAGAGATATTATCATTCATTTTTCAAAGTTGGGAGAACTAAGGCTGCATGTAGCTGGTTATCTTGTAAAATACAGAGAAGTGTTTATGTGTGCTGATGCTGAGTCCTCGCTCTAGCTAAGCACAGACCCTCCTCTTGTGCAGGAAAAGCACGCAGTCCTGGGTCTGCACACCCACACATGCTGCTGTGCGTTCAAGCCCAGGAAACATGTAAATACTGCCTGGACAGCATATGTCCATCTTGCACAGGGCCCCAGGTTGTATCCCAAGCACCACAAACAAAACAAAACAAAAAACCATAAAGTAAACTAGGCATGATGACCCATGCTTGTGATCCTAGCTATTTAAGAGGCTGGGGGGTGGGAGGAAGAGGCTGAGGCAGGAGAACTGCACCTTTGAACCCAGCCTGAGCAATTTAGTAAGATCTGGTCTCAAAACAAAAAAAATTTTTAAAAGAACTAGTCTGTAGCTCAATGACTGAGCATTACGTAGCACACAGGAGCCCCTAACTTCAATTCTCAGCACCATGAAAAATAATAAATATGGTAAAATGGCCAAAATTATTTATTGATAAGAGGCTGAAGTTATAAAGTTGTTTAAAAAAATAGCTTCTGTCAGCCTATCTTCAGTGGTGCATACCTGGAAATGCCAACTCCTGGGAAGGCTGAGGTAGGAGGACCACAAGTTTGAAGCAACTTTGGGCAACCATCTCCAAAAAAAGGCAGGTGGTGGTACAGGGCTGAGGCTGCAGTTCAAAGGGAGAGCAGTAGATTTGATCTTCAGGACAAAAAAAAAAGAGGCAGGAGATTTAGCTCAGCAGCATAAGCGCCTGCCTTGCAAGCGCGCAGTGGAGGGTTTGATCCCGGGTACAAAAAAAAGAAAAGAAAAGAAAACTGTCACTAAAAAATTTTTTTAAATGACAATCCCCAGAGAGTGTTTTATGAGATTTCTTTTTTTTTCTCTCTTTCTTTTATTTATTTTTACTATTTATTTATTTGGAGACAGGATCTCCCTCCGTAGCCCAGACTGGCTTAGTTCACAGCTGGACTCCTGCACCAATCTCCAGAGTACTGGGTTTACAGGGTAAACAGGTGTAAACCACCACACTCAGCTTGTTCTGCGATGTAGTTTAAATAAGTAGTACATTAAAAAAGGATTCTAAAATAAATTTGGAAAATTTAAGGCCAAACAGTGTTAAACGCGTTTCTTTGTGGGGAGACCACAGGAGACTTTTAATACGCTAATTTCTATAGAAAGCCTTAAAAGTCTAGATATAATAGGTAATATCTTCAAAATCTCTCCCCTCCACAACCCGTGTCTCTTTCTCCAGCCAGGCAGAGCAGTGCGTGCCTACGATGCCAGTATTTGGGAATCATCCCCAAATGAGATTTTCAACCTTAGTATCACTAGAAGTCTTCATTTTTTCCTTTTATTTCTATCGTTAGCACTAGCACTGGCATTCTTCTGCAGTCTGTTTTGCCTCTAAGTGATAAAAGCATCACAATACTGTCCTTCAACTGAACACAACACTTCACTGTGTTGTAATTCTTAGTCTTTCAGTGGATACTATGAGTTAATTTGCCCCCACATCCAGCCTTGCAGCGCACTCAATTCTAATTTATTCATCATTATTTATTACACAGTACAGAACTTTCTGTGCTATCCTTGAATGACTAATGCTTAAATCTTAATTTATTACTCTGTCACAGCTCCCCATAATTTAGTAAAAACAATCCATAGTTTGAAATACTTGCTGTTCTATAATTTTGAGTATTCCTTCTATGAAGAGAAGGCTGAATTGTTTGACAGTGCAGGGCACCAAACCGAGAGCTTCATTCAGCATGTTATACAAGTTTCACTGTGTGAAAACCCCTCACCCCAGAGAACCTTTCAAAACAATCAGACAAATTTTCCTGCAGGACAGACTGGAGGGGCAGAGAAAAAAATGTGGAAGTCTCTCACAGGTTCTACTTGTCAAAGAAATCACAGGTCCTAAAATTTGAGAATCCACCTCTGAATTGTGGGAGCCTTGTTGACTTCTTAGATTCTCCTATGAGGATAAGGAGTTTTAGACTTGTCAGGCAAATCAAACGGAAGTGACATCTTTGCTGCTTTGTTTACTCCTCCCCCACAGGAAATGTCATGACCTTGAAGTTTCTGAGTGACGCTTCAGTAACAGCTGGAGGCTTCCAAATCAAGTACATCGCAGTGGATCCAGTATCCAAATCCAGTCAAGGAAAAAATACTACTACCAGGTCTACTGGTAGTAAAAACTTTTTAGGTGGAAGATTCAGCAATTTATAAATCAAACAAAAGATGTTCAAAATATGTGATGTTTATTTTTGCATCGTTGGAACTTCTTTGATCTCACTTTTGTGTTCTTATTTTTGTTAACATTTATTTATTATTTTTCTAAATGTGAAAGTAGTACTTTATTTGATGAGAAATGGAGAGATAATTCAAGTGCAAAAATAAAATCTCTCCTACTTCTACTATATAGAAGTAACAAGTGCTGACATTTATATATATTTTTTCATTTCTCTACTTGTAGTATATGTACATATGTATCTATATGCATTTGTATTTTAAATTTTGGAGCCTTTTCTATACATAGTTTTACACTCTGGTTTTTGTGAGGAGTTATAACTTTAGACTTTAAACCTAAGTACTTCCTAAATCATTGAGTATTTTATGAAAACATGATTTTGAATAGCAGTAGAATATTCCATATTTTATTTAAACTCATCTCTATTGTTAAAATATTAGATTGTTTTCAGAAATATTGCTGCAATAAATCTTTGTACATACATATTTGTGTAGGTCTTTAATTTGGGGGACAAGGACCCACAAGTAAATTCTGGACTAAGAGACAAAGTAAAGTTTTCTTTTCTTCTTCTTTCTACTCCTCCTCCTCCTCTTCCTCATCCTCCTCCTCCTCCTCCTCCTCCACTTTCTCCTCCTCCACTTTCCCCTTTCCTTCTTCATCTTCTTTTTAAGCCAGGCTCACTTTATGTAGTTCAGGCTGACCTTGAACTCTCAATAATCCTCCTGCTTTAGCCTCCTGAGTACTGGATTACAAATTTATGCCACCATGCCTGGTCCTAAGTTTTCTTTTTGAGAACAATGAGACATCAGCATAGTTTGAATTTCCATTTATTGTATTAGTGAGACTGGAAATTGGTTTATCTAATTTTGATTTTTTATGTGTGAATTATTTTTTCCATACTTTTACCCTGTTCGTTTGATACAAAACCTCCCTCCATGCTATGTAAACCAGGTTGACCAGTACCCCAGGCTGGCCTGCAGTTTGCTGGGTGGTTGTGGCTGGCCTCAAATTCTAATTTCCTGCCTCAGCCTCTTCAGTAGCTGTGATTACCGGCCTGGGCCACCACGCCCAGCTTTTTTCTACCTATTTATTTATTTATTTATTTTGTCTTTCTGAAACACAATCTCACTATGTAGTTCAGGTTGGCCTTGAGCTTACCTGTAGCCCAGGCTGGTCCCAAACTCACAATGATCTCCCTCAGCCTCCTGCTTTAGCCTCCCAAAGAGTGCTGGGATAACATGCCTGTGCCACTATGCCTAGTTTATTTGTTTTTCTTGTTTTTTTTTTAACCTATTTAAAAAACACACACACAAATAATATTTTCTCAAACTGATTTTTTTTTTTTTTTTTTGTCTTTTTCATTTTTATCGGTACAAGGGATCGAACTCACGACTGCCTGCTTGCAAGGCAGGCACTTATGCTGCTGAGCTAAATCCCCAGCCCCCTCAAACTGATTTATAAGAAATGATTATATTAGATATACAGGCCATGTCTACTATATATGTTGCAATCTGATTTTAGATTTGCAGTTTGCCTTCTACTTTACAGTGTTTTTATTATCTCAATAATTAATTTTATGTTGTTATGCATATTTATTTTGATCAGGTTTTTTTCCCCTTGTAATTATGTTTAGAAGTGTTAAAAAGCAACATGATATAAACAAAATTAGTTTAATCTTTAACTGATTTTATTGGCAGTTCTAGAATAGAGCAATTCTTCACTTTGAAAAGAATGTCCTGATAAGTTCAGCAGGTTGGCTTGACAGACAGAAAAGAGCTGAAGAAAGACCATATGGGGAATAAAGGGAACTGGTCACTTCTAAGCTAGTTTCCTTTCAGAAGTTAAAGCAAAGAGAAACTCCTTTATCATGCCAGCTAAAAAAGGTTTATTTGGCAATTTGAATATTATCACTCTTTCTTGGTTTCATGGAAGCCAGATTTTTAAAATTTTAATATTTTACTGACATAGTGCTTCAGTTTGAGTAACTTTGTTTTCATCTGATTTCTTGGAGGAGCTCAGTCCAAATCATTGGCCTCCTATAAATTTTACTTAATGGAAGAATGCTCCTATTAAAGATTGTGTTTTTTTTTTTACATGAGTGTATTTTTGTTTTACTACTTTAACTATATTGGAGAGGAAAGTCCACAGTTGTTACTTTATATGTGAGAGGCAATGATCACCAACCACTTAAATTCAATAAAAAATCATATACTATTCTAGATGCTTGGCAAACACCAGACAGAGAATCAACTAAACAAAAAGTCCCTAGACTTGTGGATATATGTTCTGGTAGAAGGAGAAAGAGAACAATTAATATCTGTGGTACAGGGGTAAGGCCATAGATAGACAGAGCGCTTCCCCAGTATTTGCAAGGATCTGAGTTAGATTCCCAACAATCACAAATAAATTTTATACATAATATTTATAAAGACAGACTAAAAATACCAGACTACATACCAGCAGCAAAATATAGCCTCTCTACAACATGGAATCAAGACACCGGGAAGTAACAATTTGGTGAAGAAAAAAAAAAAAGAATTAGCTTTCTAAGAATCATAAAGGAACTGACAGGAAAACTAGAAACTACAGAGAACGCGACACAGAGAGAACAGATGAAGCAGTCTGGAAAGCCAACCCTGGAGAAGGGAACCCATCCCCACTAACACAAATCAAGCCCAAAGAAGGTCAGAAACTCCAAGGAGAAATAACAGATTTGGCTAGCAGCACTAGCCCCTCAAAACCTATGATTACTGCAAACTATAAAAACAGTGTGGGAAGTTAGTCTGACAGTAACTCTTTCCACATGGCAGGCTAGAGCTGGAGAAGAAATCCTGTATAGTATCTGCCATTGACTTACTTCCCTCATTGGTGAGACAAAATACCCAAGACCCAAAGTTAAAGGAGAAAAAGATTTATTTCAGCTCACAGTTTGTAGAGGTTTCATCCATAGTTGGCTGGTTTCAACCCATGGCAAAGGGGCATTGCAAAAGAGAAATAGTCCATTGCATGGCAAGTAGAAGGCGGCAGCAGTGAGCAACAGCAGAAGCAGTAAATGGCAACAATAAGCCTGCCTTCTTTCTACCGCTTTGGATACTATCCAGGCCACAAGCCTACTGCGCGGTGCCACCTATACCCAGAGCAGGTTTCCATTGCCCATCCCTTAGCCCCAGTATCATACCCTTAATCCATATTCACACACACTCATCCAGGCACCTTCAAAACTCCCCTCCATGACTGCATAGGACTTGGAGAAACATCGAGATATAAACCACACAAGACATGATGGTACATGCCTGTAATCCCAGTACTTGGGAGGTTGAGGCAGTGAGCTCAAGCCAGCCTGGGCTAAAAACTGATTTCAAGGCCAGCCTGAAGTGTATATTGAAACCTTGATGAGAGAGAGAGGGAGAGAGAGAGAGAGAGAGATGAAAACCACATTTGAGAGGGTTTAATGAAGAGCCATTTGGAAGAGAGGTTGATTGTTAAAGACTGAGTTACAGAACAATCATACTTCAGCCCTTTTTTTCTTTATTTTACTGTTTTTTATTTTCTTTTTTCTTATATGTTCATTTCTAATAATTTTATCTAATTCTATTAATTGTCATCTAGTCCTTAATAAGATCCTTTATCCCACTTTCCTCTTCTTTTTCAATTTTACATCTTTCATTTTTCCCTTCTCACTCCCCTTCATCGTTTCTAGTATTACCACTAAATTTTGTCAGTCTCTAGATAACATTTTATTTCTTTAGATACAATTAATCTTTAAACTTCACCTTTTTTTTTTTTTGAGACAGGGTCTTGCTATTCAGTTCAGACTGGCCTTGAGCTCACTTTGTAGCCCAGGCTGGTCTCGAACTCGCAACAATCCTCCAGCCTCAGCCTCCCGAGTGCTAGGATTACAAGCATGAGCCACCATGCCCGGCTCTACACTCCACCATTATTGTTGAATTAATTCTCTCCTATTGTTAACAAAGGCATAGTTTTGCATTTAGTAGACATTTATTGTTTGTCACTATAGTAACTTGTTAAGTGTTTCACAAGATAAGCAAACATTTCTAATAAATTTCCACTTGACAAATGAACAGACTTGCAATATGTATAGTATGCAACAGCAAACATCATATGATTACAACTGAGCCAATGGTTCTTCTGTCTCTCACTGCTGGACTGTGGTGATCATCTCCCAACAGCAAGGTAGCTATGGAGAAGATCTTGTCTTGTGGAGGAGGAGGAGAAAAAGGCAAAGGAATCCCTCACTTCAAAAGAGATTACAAAAAAGAGAGAGAGAGAATTAGGGACACATGTAAATTTAGAATACAGTACAAGATTTTGTAGAAAATACCACCCAAATAAGGTTGTAGCAGTGTAAACAATGAATCTGCTTAACAACAATATAATATCACATTTCTGCAAAATCCTCAAAAAGATGCAAAAACAAGTGTCATTAGATAGGTTCTTTGTTAAAGTTGCAGAAAAAGAAAAGATTCTATTGAGTCAATAACTGTAATTCATTTAGTGATCATAAAGATTATTCTATACGATAATCCTCTCTCTTGTCTCCTTCACGCCATGAAGGTTTTGAAAGGTTAATGTAGGTTAATTTATTTTCTTTATACATTGCAGTTTCTTTATTATTTTTGTTTTTTTCTTTTTCTTTGCCTTTTTGAGACAGGTCTCTCACTATGCAGTTCAGGCTGGCCTTGAACTCACTTTGTAGCTCAGGTTGATCTTGCATTTGCAACAATACTCCTGCCTCAGCCTCCCAAGTGCTGAGATCACAGGTGTGCACCACCATGCCTAGATTATTTTGTATTATAATACAGTATTAAAATCATTTTTATGTGAATATTTTTGTGTTATAGAACTAATTATCTGAGTTTCCATTATTTATTATGGAGAAATTTGCTTTAATTACAAGCATGTTTCTAGAATGAATTATGCTTACAAACCAAAGTTTTATTTTATTTGGTTTGTCTTTGTGTCTATATTATAATTTTTGCCCTCTTTTCTACTGTTAAGTGTGGCACAGTGGTATATGTTATTGGTTTTTATTGTATGTCAGTATCTACTTTGACTTTGACTATGTTATTGCTGTTCTGTTGCTATTGCTTGGGTGACACAGTTCTTGCTATTAACCGGTTTTTTGTTTGTTTGTTTGTTTGTTTGTTTGTCTTTTTCATTTTTATTGGTACCGGGGATCGAACTCACGACTGCCTGCTTGCAAGGCAGGTGCTTATGCCGCTGAGCTAAATCCCCAGCCCCTATTAACTGGTTTTTACAACACCAGCATGTTGCTTTTCTATGTCATCAATAATATTGCAATTCATTTCACTTTCCAATTACTCTGTACCCTCCCCTCTTCACATTATTAAAGGTAGTAAGACCTTGGAACAGAGGCTGAGGCCTAGATAGCTATATCAAGAGCATATCACTAGAAAGCAGACACTAATTAAAGAGCTCTCCATTGTTTTGACAAAGTTTGT